GCAGCAGATAGAGCTTCGGCCTTGGACTCAGGAGGACCTGAGTTCAAATCCAGCCTCAGACACTTGAAACTTACTAGCTGTGTGGCCTTGGACAAGTCACTTAACCCCAATTGCCTCACCAAAAAGAAAAAAAAATTTAGGAAAGGAAAGGATAGATCAATTTTGAGTGGAGGTGGGAATGGGAAGGGAGGTCAAGTCAAGGAAGACTTTATGGAGGTGGCATCTGAATAGGGTCTTCAAGGAAGAGAGTCATTTCAATGGAAAGAAATGAGGGAAGGAATATATATTCAGGTATGAGGTCTGGCTGGAACAATTCAGATGTCAAAGGAAAGGATAAGAACAAGAGAATAGAGAGTAGTCCATTTTGGCTAGAATGTAGAGTACATGAGGGGGAAAACTGAGGGAAGTTCAAATCAGGGTGTAGAGGTCTTGAAAACCAGGATAAAGAATTTATATTTGATTCAATAGACAATGAAAAGGCATTGAAGGTTTTTGAAAGGAAGAGTGATGAGATCAAGGAAAAGTAGGGAAGAAGGGATATCCCCATCCTTCTCAATAAAATGGGAGGCAAAGTATTTTGTAGAGAATGAGGAGGACAGAGCTGAAGTTAGGCACTTGAGGAGAGACAAAGATTTGGAACAGCTTGTAATTTTCAAACATTCTCACGAAGAGCTGTGTTGACTGGGAAAAGGACTGAAATTCAGTTATACTTGAGGACAGGCTTAATGTTTGATTTTCTCTTCTAATTTAATAAGTAGGCTTGTGATTTAGAAATATAATTCTAGCTTCTTTTTCTTCGTAGGGCTCATAACCCGTCTCCGGTATCCAGTTGGCTCCATGGGAACCTGTTTGCCAGCAACAGCTGGTTTTAGCTATGGTAAAGTTTGAAATTCTATTGTAATAAAACAGTAGACCTAGTAAAGAAATTCCATTCCAAGTGCGCATCTTGCTTAATGCAAAATACTGGACAGATGAAAGAGTAAGAATAGTAGCTAACATTTATATAGCACTTAGCCAGACACTCTGCTAAGCTCTTTGCGATTAATATCTCATTTGATCCTCACAACAACCCTCGGAAGTAAATGCTATTATTTTCCCCATTTTGCAAACGAAGAAACAGAAGCAAACAGAGGTTAAGTGACCTGCCTGGGTTCACACAGCTACTAAGTGTCTGAGGCCACGTTTAAGCTCAGGTCCTCCTGACTCCAGGCCCAAGTCTCTATTCACTGTTCCACCCAGCTATTATTTAAATAGCTGCTCTCTCTAGAAACAAGGATTTCTGGGAAAGGGTCACTACCCAAGAGAGGTCAACTGCAGATACCTGCTAAGCATGGGAGTTTCTAGATCGTCTTTCTTCCCAACTGCCTTTAGGTGAGACTTATTCATAATCCAATTTGGGTGGTTTCCAGAAAGTGTGACATTTGCAAATCCCAAAAGTTACTCTTTGGGAAGAAAAGTTTTATTTCCTTTGAAAAGTGAAATAATGAGAGAAATTCTCTCCCATCCCTACCCCCCCCCCAAAAAAAACCCTTCCAAACTATTGGTTAGACTTGAACCTCTTACAAAACCGCATTTTGGCTACATTTATGTTTGTAAATGAGCAAAAAATTTTAAAGAAGGATAGCATTAGTACCTCATTTAAGTGTTTGCCTCACCAGTGTACTAGAGTCATCTTTCCCTCCCATAAAAGTGGCCATTTGCATAGAAACAAATGACATTTTTGAGGGGTTCTCTGACCATGCCTAGAAAAGAAATTGATGCTAGGATCAAAGGACAAACTTTTGGATAAGAATTCTACAGACAAAGCTAAATATATGCACATAAAACACTAGTTTTTTTTGGTCTAAAAGTTTATTTTAGAGGCAGCCTAGAAACACTTTCATAGTATTCCCTCAAATTAAGTTGCCAAATGTTAATATGTGTATGTAACACTTGTGGGTATTGCTGTGGAAGGTAATGCTGTGAGTGAGATTTAACAAAAAGATAAACTGAGGCATATTTCTCTGAGCAAGATAACATTTACTAACAGTGATGCTTATGACTGATGGATTGCCTCAGTTTATGCCAAAGACCTAGAATTCAACTCACTTTTATAAGCATAGAGCAAAGAGCAGTACAGGATAGGTGACATTGTGGGGTTGAGGACAACATGATTGGTTACATAGCTGAGGCAAAGGGGAATAACATGATTGGGTGGAAGTTAGGTAATAAGGGGCTAGCCACAACTCTCTCCTTCTCCCTCCCCCCCTTAGTAACAAGTCCAGATAGAAAACCATAACATCCTTGAAGGATAGCTCCTATAAATAGATTAGACCAGACTCCCTTAGGGCAAGCCACATTCCACCAAGGTTAGCTAAATTCCTTGAGGCAAGAATGGAATAAGGATTAGCCAGAGAACTGAATTTCTAAATTTAACCCATTACAGGCCAACTATAATTCTGAACTAAATTCAGAGATAAAGAACCCTGACTTAGGCAGTTACAGTACAAAAATTGATTCATTGTAAATAGGATCAATCTTGATTGTTTCAGTAGAGTAGGTTGTGACTCAAGTCTGCTTTCTGACTCAAAGACTGACAAAGTTCCAAATCCCTCTCAGGACTGAGAAGGACTGCTTGTTCCCCTGAACTACAAATCCCAGAATATGAGTTCTCTCATTCATCTACAGAAGCACAACTCTATGTAAGAGAAATACAGTTCTTAAAAACTTTTCCTTCCCTCTCCCCATTTGTTTCCACTGAGTGTAAAAATACAAAAGGGTACTAAATTAATGGAAAACCAGATTTTTAGGTTAAATCCCTAAGATCTCCAAAATTCCTTTTAATTCTAAAATCCTATAATCTTAGTATGAGCAATTAGTATCCTTCCATCAAAAAGATATTTAATAAATTCTTGTTGATTGATTGATTTTCTCTTTGATAGGAGAGTCTAGGTCAGCCTGGAACCAGATGCCTTGAGGTAGGGGTGGAGAGAGGAAATAAACAGGAGAAAAAAGACACAGCAGTTAATGTAGGGATAGGGAAGGGACTGGTAGAGAGGGAGGTAGAAAAGAAGAGGGAGAGATTTCTTAAAGCCAGATGTCATGTACTTCAATACTCTGCCTAGGGCTAGCTTTGGCTAGGGGCAGGGTTAAAATCTGCCAGGGAATCCAAACTTAATTTTAATTAATTCATTATTTAATCCATAGATTCCCCATGTGGGCAACACTACCCCCTTGGGGGTGCCAGAATGATGGGGGAGGCAGTAGTAGCCTCAGGTACAATTGGGGGGGTGTTGAATAAAAATAAGGGGGCAGTGGAAGCATAAAGAAAGAAATGAAGATAAGAAAATTTTGAAAAACCATTCGTACATGTTTCATCTGTTGTGTAACAGAGTTAAAGTCATAGTGATTACATTATTTTCCAAATAAACATACAAAATGCAAGTTATAACCAATCAGTGGTCAAGTCTGCCAACAGGTCTTAACAAGCAAGTGTTGGCAGGCAAGTGTATTGCGTATTGTCAGGAAGTCGAGCATGCATCAGCAGGAATATATGTGTACATGTAATGATTTATTTACAATATGATACCATGTGGTTACATGTTGCAATATTGCGTCATTAAAATTTTAATGCAGGAAAAACTCACAAATTTACAATAAATTATTAATTTTTTAAATGCATCATTTAAAAAATAGTATATTCTTTTGAAATGACACAATTTTTAAATAAAAACCATTAATGGGTCAAAGAAAATGGATTTCTGGGGGGTGCTGAGTAATTTTTTTAAAGGGGGGTGGTAGGCCAAATAAGTTTGGTAGCTTCTGTTTTAATCCAATGCTGCTGTTTGGTACATCTGAATTAGAAAGGATGGGAACTGTGGCCCCCTGCTGGTGGAAAATTTCTTACAGAAATGTCCTTTGCAGTGGATAGAGCACTGGCCTTGAAGTCAGGAAGACCTGAGTTCAAATCCAGCTTCAGACCAAACACTTGACACTTAGTAGCTGTGTGACCCTGGGCAAGTCACTTAACCCCAATTGCCCCCCCAAAAAATTGTCCCTTAAAAAAACAAAGACACTTAGAGTTGTGCTTTTGTACTTATACACAAATAAGAACACTTGATAATTTAAGTGGAGGGAACACTAATAAAGTGTTTCTCCTTGTATCTGTTCTTTTGAATACTAAAATGGCAAGCAGATGAAGTTCAAAATGCCTGAAAGATGATGTTTTTTTTGCTGGAAAACATAAGAGTACTCTTTTGAGTGAAAATATTCCACCTTAACAAAAGTTAGGACTCTGTGGATATTATTCACTATTTGGCCATTTCTTGGCTCTTCTGTTTCCCCATCTGTAAAATAAAGAAGTTGGACTGGATAGGGTCCAAGGCCCCTTCCAGTTTTGATAATTTATGCTTCTCTGCCTTTTTCATCAGTAACATATAGGTTTTGTTTTTCCAGAGAAATGGGAGATTGATCAATCTGAGTTGACTTTTATAGAGGAGGTTGGAAAAGGCCAGTTTGGTGTGGTCCATTTAGGTAAATGGAGATCACATATCCTAGTTGCTATTAAGGCCATCAATGAAGGAACCATGTCAGAAGATGACTTCATTGAGGAGGCTAAAGTGATGATGTGAGTATATATAACACCCACAGAAATGTTGAAGTGTGTAATCAAAGAGAGAATGTGGGGCCTGTGGTAACTGAGAAGACGCGGCTCATGTTTTAGAGGTGACGGCATCGTCTCGACCTAAAAGGGTTAACTTGTCCCTAAAAGATGAATGGTTTGCTTGACTACTTCGAAAGATCATTGCAGTAATTGGTAGAGTGTCTTTTTAGTTGTATCTTCACAAAGGGAATATCTTCATGGTAGCTGTGGCCAAACCTTTGTCCTCATCCAGGCTGACAATAGGAGGTAGCTGCGATCATGCTGGAAGTCTTTCTGGTTTAATTAGCACATGGCAGAGTTTGAACTTCATTGACTTCGAGAACCTAGTGTCACTTCTGCCTCATGAGGAGACGTCACAGGGAACCTTTAAGAGAGCATGAATGCTTTACTCTGTGTGTATATGTACATATCTATCTATCTATCTATCTATCTATCTATCTATCTATCTATCTATCTATCTATGTATATAGATATATGTGTGTGTACTTCCTAGGGTTGTGAGAAGGGCATCTCTTAGCTTTTGTGAGAAGGGCATTCTCTAGGGCTCCTGGGTCCCTCTATCTTCCCTGACTCAATTCTAACCATTACATAAGTCAGTCTTTTAGCTTATAGTTCATGTCAAGAATTCAACAGGTGTAAGAAAAAATATATGAAAAGGAAAAGAAGGGAAGGTTTAGGGGAGGGCGAGAGGAGTCGGTGGTCGGGGTTCTTAGGCAAGCAGAAAAAAATCAGGTTTTAGGTCAATGGCAAGTGAAGATTCTTCAGCTGCGTTAAGGGGCACATAGCTTCTAGGAATAGGCTTTTTGGCTGCCATAACACAGTGATGACTCATACCAAGCTTGCTGATAAGATCTCAAGATGTTTTTTAGACCAACTACTGTCTAACTATGTTCATCCCTTGTTATGCTTGTGAAATTGACTTTTTGTACTCAAGTGCAAGACTGTTTTCATTCCTCCTTAATTTTATCTTGTTAGATTTAGCCCAGTGCTCTAACTTGTCAAGATGTTTTTAGATCCTGACTCTGTTAGCTAACAAACTTTGTGTCATTTGCAACTTTCGAAAATATCATCTAAGGATTTATCTAAGTCATTGTTAAATGTTAAATTGTACAAGGCCAAGCACAGATCCTTGGTGTACTCTATTGGAAACGTTGACAATGAGCTATTTACCAACCCTTCTTTGAGTCTGGCCATCCAAGCAGTTTCTGATCTATCTGATTGTACTATTGTTTAATCTATAACTCTCTATTTTTTGCAATATCAAGTATTTCTACCTTAAAATAAACTATGTTCACAAAATTCCCTTCATTTAATAATCCTGTTTAAAAAAAAGGAAATCAAGTTAGTCTGGCATGACCTGTTCTTGGTGAAGCCAAGCTGGCTCTTTGTAATCACTACTTCCTTTTCTAAATGTTAACCAACCATCTTTTTAATGATCCTCTCAGTGTGCCTGTAGGCAACTCTCTAAGACCTTGAGTTACAAGATCTGCATCATTTCTCTGTACTGATGAAATCATAACTCCTGAACAACAACTACAAACCAAACATCTTGATCTCAAATCCATTCTTTCAAGTACGAATGGAATATGACATAGTTCATTTTTCATGGAAAAGACATTTTTGTTTTATCTATTAAGCTGTTTGCCTTGTTGATCAGAATTAGCTCAAAGCTGCTGAAATATTTGTTTTTTTATTTTTTCATAGTTTAATATTTGTGTTTTTTTCTAACCAATTTCACTATGATAGAACAGCTCTTGATTATTCACATGTAGCTTCCCTACATTTTAGATTACTTATGGCTATAACTAGACATTTTGCTGCTAAAAGCAACCAGTATAAAATGTATTCTCAAGTCAACTTTTAAAAACAAAGTCACTTGGGAAGAAACATGGGCAGCAATTTGGGGATACCTCAAGGCCACTCCTGGAGATGCTGTTGTAGGGTAGGCAACAAGGAATTTCTGGGATGGGTGAAGAGGATGCATGCCATCTAGGAGCCTTCTGTTTAGCCAGTGAAGTACTAAACTCAGCTGTCTCTACGTGCTAAAGGAATATGTGTATATATATATATATATATATACTGTCCTCGTCCTCTATATTTCAGTGCCCCAGGTCAAAATCATAATCACCATATCCTAGTTATGACTCTGATCATGAGACACATTAAACTCAAGCAGGCTTTCCAATCATCACTCATCTTGATTTGGTGCTTATTCAGTCATTATTTTTCTGATTATAATTGAAAATTTTTTTTTATTGTCTGCTGATTTGAAATATCCATGTCATTACCTCTCAGGTGAATGGGGAACACTGGAGACTATTTAGTGGAGATAGCTATATTTCATCTCACACTCCGACGTAGGCCAGTTCTATCGCTTTGGACATACTGTTTAAATCCCAACTTAAGTTAAAGAGAATAAAGCTACTTTGCCATCTTTATAGTCAAGTTAAGGTTTTGTTAATAGAGTACTGAGAAGATGAAAAGGCTACATACCCCTATGATTCCAAAGCACTTTTTAAAATCTCTCCCCTCAAAAAACAAACAAACTCAATTCTGTTGAAGTGAATTATAAGCTTTCAATTACTAAATACTAAATAAAAATACTAAAATGTGTTTCTTGAACAGGAAATTATCTCATTCAAGACTAGTACAACTTTATGGAGTATGTATCCAACAGAAGCCACTTTACATAGTAACAGAGTTTATGGAAAATGGCTCTCTGCTTAATTATCTCAGACAAAGACAAGGAAGGCTTAGGAGAGGAATGCTACTGAGCATGTGCCAGGATGTATGTGAAGGCATGGAGTACCTGGAGAGGAGTAGCTTCATTCACAGGGATTTAGTAAGTATGAGTTAACTCTTGATTCAAAATGGTAGACTTGGTTTTGCTTCATTTGTATTTTAACCAATGCCTTATTTGACATGGGTGGAATCTTGGGCTCTGGAAGACTATGCCAGTGTGGGGTAAGCTCTGGAAGGTCCTACCAGCCTGAGAAGGCTTCCAGTATGGAATTTATTCCACATTTGTGTATTGTATTCTACCCCACCCCACCCATTTTCCTGTGAACGTAAGATCCTTGACGACAGGGACTATATCACCTTGCACAGTGCCCAATACTACGTAAGTTCTTGATAAAAGCTTGTTGTCTGAATGATTGATTAAAGACTCATTTATTAAATGCTTAGTATGTGCCAGGCAAAATGTTAGGAGGTGAAGATAGAGATAGAAAAGCAAGATAGTTTATATTCTACTAAGTCACCTTAACTTTAATTGGAAATTATAAATCCTTTAAATATAAACCTTGCCTAAAGTACTATTTTAGGACAGAAATGGCCTTTTTTTGTAGGGTAGAAGTGACCCTGGGCTCTTGAAGTCTTAGATCACAGAGTAGCATATGGTTTGGTGACTCTTACCAGGGCTTTGAATAGAAACCTGGTGATGGACTCGCAGCCCGAGAAGCAGCCTAGCTAAATGAGGAGGGTTCCTCACCAGAAAGCTGGCCACTAGGCAGTAATTTTTTTTTTTTTAACAAGGCAATAGGTTGAAGTGACTTGCCCAGGGTCACCCAGCTAGTGTCAAGTGTCTAATGCCAGATCTGAACTCAGGTCTTCCTAAATCCAGGGCTGGTGCTCTATCCAGTGTGCCATCTAGCTGCCCCCTTGGTGGTAATTTTTTTAAAAGTAGGATAATCCGTGAAGATTTGCGTACCAAGTTACAATGAAAGTACAATGCAAATGAAAGGGTTACCTACCTAGATGAAATCCAGGGTGCCTGGAGTACCGAACTGTAAGGATTGAAGAGTTGTGGGGATCTTTAGAATTATGGTGTAATGGAATTCTTGGGTAGGGGATTAGGTGACAGGTTTAAATCACTCCTCTGAGGGTTAGTCCCTGAGTACTTTGGGCAGCACCCTCGGTAGGACTTACCTGCTAAGTCAAAGGCCGGTCTGATCTACGCAGATATTCTATTTGAGTGTGCTTTGTGTTCGTAAAAGTTAATAACAAGTTCTTTGAGCTTTATGACTCAGGCAACTCCCTAGAACCTAACTATTAAGTCAAAGACCAGTCGCTCTACATAGAACATTTACTTATTGGTGTATACTCATGTTAATGTAAGTTGTGTCTGTCATATAGCTCAGGAAGGAATGACAAGACATATAGTTAAGAGTTTTATCTGAGAGCGAGTGAATCTTTCTTGGGTTTGGTGTATCAAACGTGACATTTGAGGAAGAGTAAAATAAAAATAAAAAGCATGCAATTTCTTTGGAGAACAGAATTGTTTGGGTTGCATGTGTGTGTGTATGTGTGTGTTTGCTATGCTAATAAGTAATAGTAGCTATAATTTGTATAGTGCTTTAAGATTTACAAAGTGCTTTGCATGTGTCATCTCATTTGATCCTTACAGTAACCCCATGAGGCAAGTGCTATTATTTATACCCATTTTACGGATGAGGAAACTGAGGCTAAGAGAAGCAAAAGTAACTTGCTCAGGGGCACGCTGCTTGTGTGTGTCTGAAACAGAATTTAAATTCAGTCATTACTGACTTGGAGTCCAACATTCTATCCTAGCATTAAAAAATAAGTGCAGCTTATTGTAGAGGCTAGAGGGATGGGCTTGGAGTAAGGAAGACCTGGGTTCTGAGCTTGCATTCGACACTAGTTAGTTACACAACCATGAGCCAGTAAATTCTCTGAGACCTAGACAACTCTCTAAGAAAGCAAGAAATCTTTTTTTTTTTTTTTTGGGTTAGGCAATGGGGTTAAATGACTTGCCCAGGGACATACAAGCTAGTAAGTGTTATGTGTCCAAAGTCAGATTTGAACTCAGGTCCTCCTGAATCCAGGGCTGGTGTTCTATCCACTGCACCACCTCGCTGCCCCGAAAGCAAGAAATCTTATTGAAGAGTGCCATCATTTTAAAGTCTATTGTGTGAAGGCAGCTAGGTGGTTCAGTAGAGTACTGGACCCGGGTTCAGGAGGACCTGAGTTCTCCTAGCCTCAGACACTTACTAGCTGTGTGAACCTGGGCAAGTCACTTAATCTTGTTTGCCTCAGTTTCCTCATCTGTCAAATGAGCTGGAGAAGGAAGTGGCAAACCACTCCAGTATCTTTGCCAAGGAAACCCCAAATGGCGTCATGAAGAGTTGGATACAATTGAACAACACCAATAATCAATGGGATTATTATCATCCAGGAGAGCCACTACAAATGGATCATGGGGGCAGAGGCTGAAAGATGGAGGAGGGGGTACAAATGAACTGGAGGGGAAGAAGCTACAGTAGAAAAAGTCTTGCCGGAGTAGAATTTTGCTCATGCATCTTTCTCCTTTTTCCACAGGCTGCCAGAAATTGTTTGGTCAGTGCTACGTGCGTAGTAAAAATTTCAGACTTTGGAATGACAAGGTAATAGAACATGTAAGAACCCTAGAGTCATCATTTTGTTTCTTTTTTTTTTAAGCTTTGCTTATGTCCATTTGTCCAATGTTAACTTAACGACCGTCGTGTGACTACTGTGCATGGTGCATAAAGAAAATAAAGACTTTGTCCTACCTACGTGGATTACACATGGACTAATTGTGATGCAAAAATAGAGTATTAAGACTATTTAATGGATACAGACTACTGCAGGGAGGTTGGACAAATAAAAGACTCAAGGATTCCGGAAGGCTTCCTGTAGGATGTGGCTCTTGAACTCCATCCTGAAAGATGAGTAGACTCTCAAAGGACAGGTGGTGGCTTGGGGAAGAGAATTTTATCAACCAGCCCTGCACTTGAAGCGAGAGCTAGCTTTTGGCCTGTTTTTGTGGCTATTATTTCCTGTTGACCCAGTTCAGGGGAGCTGAAACCACCTGTGCACATATTCAGTCCAGGTGTTAAGCTGAGGTTTCGTCCTCTAAGTAATTTCTGACCATAATTCTGGTCATTCTTTCACCTTTATAATGAGCCATTTGGTTTTTCTTTGTAAGAGACAGAAAGACAGAGACAGAGAGATAGAGACACATAAAAAGACACACACAGAGAAAGAGAAAGACATACAGAGACAGACAAAAAGTATTGTATAGGCCAGAGGGGTCTCTGGTGTGAGTGTTCTTTTGAAATGGGACAGTGGGAGTATAACTGTTTCATTTTCTCCATCTTCACAATATCATTATCCAAAGCTTTAGAGACAGATAGTCCCTGTCTTCCAGGAACTCATTCATTTCCAGGAAGCTAGTCCAAAGTTCTATCAAAGGAGATGATAATTATCCCTGTTCATTTTCCATACGGGGTCATTATACTAAATGAGGGACTTTTGCTTAAAAAGTAGCAAACGTCAAGTGTTAACAGTTGAGTAAGGAAAGAAGGCATTGAAACAACCTTTAAATTAATTCTTTTTAAAATTTTAAAATTTAAATTTAAAATTTATTCTGTGCTTCAATATATTCATGAAATTTGATGCTTGGGGTTGCTTCCTATGTTTTTTTTTTTTTTTCCCTTCCCAAAATTGGTTGCTGGAGTCCTTTAATATGCTGCTTTTTTTTTTTTAAAGCTTTATTGATGCTTTTTGTTTTTAACACCACAATAATTTCCCAACATCTGCCTCTGCCATTCAACCCTCCCTTGTAACAAAGAAAAACAATTAAGCAAAGCTTACATAACAATAACATCTGATTGTGTGTACTCATAGGAGGCTCCCAGCTCCTTCCCGAGGAGAATGAATTTATTCTCAGGTGCTGGTATATACCTTTTAACATGTAAGTCATAATGATGATTAACATGTCCAGTCTGATGACTTGTGATTTAAAAGTTCATGTTTGGTATGCGGAATTGTAATTACAGGTTTATGAGAACCAAACAATACCATAAAAACTGAGGTTAACTGGTAAAGTGTGACACTGTTAACAACAAGAGAGAATCACAAAACTTCCTTGTATTAAAGGATTATACCTTGCCTTTTTTTAGGAGAATTTCGCTATGTAGCCAACCCAAAGCTCCTTGGAGATTTGAATTAAAAGGGGGAACCTTTCATTATTAATGTAGCATATCTGTGTATTTGTATTCACTTGGTTGTAGATATGTTTTGGATGATGAATATATCAGCTCTTCAGGTGCCAAGTTCCCAGTCAAATGGTCAGCCCCTGAAGTCTTTCACTTCAACAAATACAGCAGCAAATCTGATGTCTGGTCATTTGGTGAGTTCACTTGATGAAGCTGATTCGACGTTAGTTGTCTAAGTAGACTAGGACCATCAGTTCACCTTGTTTCTTAGTGCAAGATTCTCATGGAGTCTTCCCAGATCTATGGTCTTGCTTTGTGCAGTCTGAAACATCAAAACAGCCTTTGGTGGCTTCCATGATATACACGCTTATGAAATTGCTCATTTTCATTTCCAAGTGAGGAGTTAATTAAAACTTTAAATTTTAAATTAAAACAAAGAGTCTGCTGATTGAAAAAGACAACCACTCTTTCCCTTTCCCCTTGACAGCTTTTCCCCACCATTGTCTTGAAAAGAAAATTGATCCCAGCTATTTGTAGCTGTTGTGTAATGAACTTCTTCGTCACTTAATGAATTTGTAAATACGGCTAGCATTTAAACTTATAAAATGTTCCTATTGTTCACCTGGAAACATGAACTTATTGCCCTTTGTTTATAGGATGGATTCACCATATTTAATTCATTGTCTTGAGATTTGTAGGATTTATGTAACTTAATATACTGTAGAGCCTTAGTTTAGTACAGTATAAAACTTGATGTACATGTATATGCTAGCCTTCATATAGAAAGGTGATGCTACATATAGACCCGTCCTTAGTAGAGCATCTACTTTTTTTTTTTTCAAGACTAGTGATAGATCTAAGCTCAATCATTCACATTCTGCAGGCTAGTTCTCCCTCATTTGCACAATGGCTGGCCAAGGAGTTTGTGACCAGGGAACAGAGAAAAGACATAGAAAAATTCAAGTCCTCAACGGTATCAAATGGTCAACCTCAGACTCTTTAGCTCTTCACTACTTACACACATAGTGGTAATAGCAAGTGGCACTTTAAAATAACAGAATTATGAAACATCTGGAAAGGACTTTGCAGATGGTCTGGTTCAAACCCTTCACTTTGTAGGTGAGGAAGTAAGCCTATGGACAACAATTTGGCTGAGAGATTGCACCCATGCGTGTACAGGGCAACAACCCAAGAATTCCTGTTGGGAGTGTCTTTAAGTATTTTCTGTAATGAACCATTATTTATTGAATACCTACACTGTCTCATGTACTAAAGAACTCTTTAAATTAATTTTTTTTCAATTAATGAAAATCTATTTTCTTTTTCTCTCATCCTACCCCTGAAAAGAAAAAAGAAAAAGAAAAACAAACATGCATAGTCAAGCAAGACAATTTCCCACATTGGCCATGACCAAAAAATATATGTCTCATTCTACACCCTGAGTCCATCACTCCTCTGCTGGGAGATGGGTAGTGTGCTTCATCATTGGTAAATGATACTTTTAAAAATAAAATTTATAATTTATTTATTTTAAAGATTATTTTCTTTTTAAATTTTGAGTTCCAAATTCTCTCCCGCCCTCCCACTCCCTCCATCCACTGAGAAAGCAAGCAATTTGATATTGGTTATACATGTGAAATCATGCAAAACATATTTGCCATATGTCAAAAAAGCAAGAAAAATTGAAAAAGTGAGAAAATTACACTTCAATTTGCATTCCGAGTTCATCAGTTTTCTCTCCTTTATTCCTCCCCTATGCCCATTCCAGACACCCAACAATTTTTTTTAAGTAATCATTCCCCTCCTCTCCAACTTGCCTTTGTGGATTTTTTTTTTTTTTTAGGAATTCTGATGTGGGAGGTTTTTACTGAGGGCAAGATGCCTTTCGCAAAGGAATCCAATTTACAAGTTGTGGAGGCTATTTCCAAAGGCTTCAGGCTGTATCGTCCGCACCTGGCTCCAATGATTGTGTATGAAGTCATGTATAGCTGCTGGCATGAGGTCTGTCTTCCTCACTTTCTAATTTAACGCTATAGGTTTTATCTTCTGGCACTGGCCTGGCCTGTTCCACCTATGGACTCAAGAACCCACTGATAAAAGGGGAAGTGTCTATTTCACATTAGTGATTCATTAGAACCTTACATGATGATCCTATCTGTATTGCTATGATGTGTTACTTTATCTCTTATTTGTTGTTTTGCATTGACTTTCTTCTGCAAAGGTCCGTGCACTTTTTTTTTCTTTTAAAAATCCATTCTGTTGGGTAAATGTAACCTTAGCTATAAAGGGCACTGACTTGGGGGTTACAGGACTTGAGTTCAGGTCTAAGCTCTGCCACTTACTTAGCTGTGTAACCTTGGGTGAGTAAATCACTTAATCTGTGTGTATCTCGGTTTCCACAATTACAAAATGAGGGGTGTTGGACTGGATGACCTCAAAGGCCTTTTTTCACTTTGAGTCCATGGTCCCATAATTCACTGAAGATGCCAAGGTTAGATGATGTGCCCAAGGTCACAGGGTCAATTGGCAGAAACAGAGTAGAACCCATTTGGTCATGAAAGTCTTGAAATTTCCACTTTGAAAAGTGAGAGCAAGTGTTTTCATTTACGTAAGTTTCCATCTGTGTTGCCTTTCATAAGCGGAAGAAGTATTCTCGTGGCACTCCTCATGACCAAAAAATATGGAGAAGCGAAATGAGAGCAGAACATGTTCTAGGAGCAATGAGGAGTATGAACCTCTCAGGAAATTCCCTTTTGCAGAGTCGTTGAACTTCTGTCTTTGAAAGGCTAAACATAAACATAAAGGCCACAGGTGTACGGCTCCCAGTAGCTTCCCTTTCTGGGCACTGACTAGTACTTCACCCTACCCAACCCCACCCCTGGTCAGCAGACTCCTTTGTACTTTTGGCCGCTCCTTTGTCTTCCTGAGTGCTTAAAAAAAAAATAGCTGAATTAGAGAGAGAGAGAGATAGACAGAGACAGAGGAGAAAAAAAGAGAGAGAGACAGAGAGAAGGAAAGATAGCAAGAGAGAGAGAGAGAAAGAGAGACAGATAGAGACAGGAAGAAGAAGAAGAAGAAAGGGAGGGAAGGAAGGAAGGAGAGAAAAAAGAAAGAAAAAGAAATTGAACTCAGATGATAGACATGGGAAAATAGATACATGGCAGCTAATTTGTGATTTGGATGGTGTCTTTACATTTTACATTTTATATTACAAAAGGATTATTTCCTTTATGATAGAATCAAATGGAATAATATGTGGTTAATTAGCAGTTCATCTGGACAAGATCTGGGGTTTTTCATGGACAGCAATCTCCTCATAAGTCAACAGTGTGCCAAGAAAACTAAGATGATCTTATGCTACATTAAAAGACATAGAATGTTCAGGACAAAGAAATCCTGAATACAGTCCCAACTGTATTCTGCCCTGACTGGAATAGTATTATATTGAATTTGGGAGATCACATTTTAGGTAGCACGTTGATGAAGTGGAGAGTGTCCAGAGGAGTAAAACTATGATGGAGTCGGGCCTTGAGATCATAACATATGTGGATCACCTGATAGAGTCTGTTAGTTATGTTGTAGAGGGGATTTTTTTCCTAAGGTATAGTTAGGACTAGATGGCCTTTGCGGTCCTTTCCAACTCTGACCTGCCGTGTGAATTCTCTCAATGCTCATTCCCTTTAAGGTGCTACCCACTCCTTGAAACTCTCTTCTCTACTTTTGGTGGTGCCTGTTCTTGTTTATCCTTGCACTCAGAGCTCTTTTTTTTGGGGGGTCTCCTGTTCAGGCTCCTGTTCCTTACGATTGTGCATCACTGAAGGCTCATTCTTTGGCTCTCTCCTTTTACTTTTCTATACTCACTCCTTTGACGAGACGTACTTATGATTTCTGTTCTTACTTTAACCTCTCACCTTGACCTTCAGTAGATATTTCTCACTGGAAGCCGTGTTCCAAATGAAACATCCCATTGAGGCGCATGACTGTCATCTCAACATATTCAAAATCGATCTCATCATCTCTTGGTTCCCCTTTCTAGGATCTCATTTTTTGTAAGTGATATTTTCCCAAGGCTTCTCATCTGAGAATCATCTTTGCCTCTTTCTTTTTCTACATCCTCTGTACTGAATCTGTCTCCAAATCCTGCTGTTTCTTCCTTCCAAATATCTTTTTGGATTTATCCGTTTCTCTTTATTCTTACTGAAAAACTTTAATCCAGGTCCTTATTATCTTATGTCTAGAAGCAGGTAATGAAGTAGAAAGAAGAGAAATTTTAGAATCAGAGATTTGTTGTTCTTGACTCATTTTTCAGTCAAATCTTGACTCTTCATAACCCCATTTGGAGTTTCCTGGGCAATGATACTGGAGTGGTTTGCCGTTTCCTTCTCCAGCTCATCTGACAGATGAGGAAACTGAAGCAAACAGGATTAAGTGACTTGCCCAGGGTCACACAGCTAGTAAGTGTCTGAGGCCCGATTTGAACTCAAGAAGATGAGTCTTCCTGACTCCAGGGCCGGCACTCTAGCTACTGGACCACCTAATTGTCCCTTGGAGTCAGAGGACCTAGCTTCAAATCCAGTTCTGCTACTCCATACCTTGTGACTTTGGGTACGTCACTTAACCTCTCATGGCCTCCTTTTCCTCATCTGTAAAATTAAGAGATTAGATTGTCTAGGCATGGAAGTATTTTACAGCTCTGAAATTCTATGATTCTACTCTTCTTTTTTTATTAATAAATTTATTTATTTTTAGTTTTCAACATTTGCTTCCACGAGGTTTTGAGTTCCAAATTTTCACCCCATCTCGCCCCACCCCCCACCCCAAGATGGCATGCATTCCCCTAGTCTGCGTTCTCTTTTATCTCTCCCCTCCCTTCTCTTATCCCCTTCCCCTTCTATTTTCCTGTAGGGCAGGATGGATTTCTGTACCCCATTTCCTGTATTTCTTATTTCCCAGTTGCACATGAAAACATTTTTTTTAAACATGTGTTTTTAAAACTTTGGGTTCCAAATTTTCTCCCTTCCTCCCTCCCGACCCACCCTCATTGAAAAGGCAAGCAACTCAGTGTAGGTTATACATGTGCAGTTATGCAAAACACTTCCATAGTAGACCTGCTGTGAAAAACTAACTCTATTTCCCTTAATCCTATCCTGCCCTCCCCATTTATTCTATTCTTTTTTTTTTGACCCTGTCCCTCCTCAGAAGCATTTGCTTCTGATTACCCCCTTTCCCAATCTGCCCTCCTCTCTATTATCCCCCTACTCTCTTGTCCCCTTCCCCCATATTTTCCTGTAGGGTAAGACAGAATTCCATACCCAATTGAGTGTGTATGTTATTCCCCTCCTTAAGTCAAATCCTATGAGATTAAGATTCACTCATTTCCTCTCACCTTCCCCCAGTTCCCTTCCACTGTAAGAGCCTTTTCTTTTCTGGTTTTTTTTGTGAGGTAATTTACCCCATTCTACCTCTCCCTTTCTCCTCCTAGTATAATCCTCTCTCACCCCTTAATTTTATTCTCCAGATATGACCCCTTCATCTTCAACTCACCCTGTGCCCTCTATCTATCTATCTATCTATCTATCTATCTATCTATCTATCTATCTATATATATACATGTATACAAACATATAATTTTTTCCCCCTCCAACTACCCTAATACTGACAAAGGTCTCATGAGTTACAAACATCATCTTTCCATGCAGGAATGTAAACAGTTCAACCTTAATAAGTCTCTTATGATTTCTCTTTCCTGTTTACCTCTTCATGTTCCACTTGAGTCTTGTATTTGAAAGTCAAATTTTTATTCAGCTCTGGTCTTTTCATCAAGAATGCTTGAAAGTCCTCTATTTCACTGAATGACCATTTTTTCCCCTGAAGGATTATACTCAGTTTTGCTGGGTAGGTGATTCTTGGTTGTAATCCTATCTCCTTTGCCCTCCGGAATATTATATTCCATGCCCTGCGGTCCCTTAATGTAGAAGCTGCTAAATCTTGTGTTATCCTGATTATGTTTCCACAATATTTGAATTATTTCTTTCTGGCTGCTTGCAATATTTTCTCCTTGACCTGGAAACTCTGGAATTTGGCTACAATATTCCTAGGAGTTTTCCTTTGGGATCTCTTTCAGTAGGTGATTGGTGGATTCTTTCCATTTCTATTTTGCCCTCTGGTTCTAAAATATCAGGGCAGTTTTCCTTGATAATTTCTTGAAAGATGATGTCTAGGTTCTTTTATTGATAATGGCTTTCAGATAGTCCAATAATTTTTAAATTCTCTCTCCTGGATCTATTTTCTAGATCAGTTGTTTTTCCAATAAGATATTTCACATTGTTTTCTAATTTTTCATTCTTTTGGATTGTTTTACAGTGTCTTGATTTCTCATAAAGTCACTAGCTTCCAATTACTCTATTCTAATTTTTAAGGAAGTATTTTCTTCAATAATCTTTTGGACTTCCTTTTCCATTTGGCCAATATTGTTTTTTAGGGCATTTTTCTCCTCATTGGCTTTTTGGACCTCTTTTGCCATTTGGGTTAGGCTATTTTTTAAGGTGTTATTTTCTTCAGTATTTTTTTGGGTCTCCTTTAGCAAGCTGTTGACTTGTTTTGCATGATTTTCTTGCATCAGTCTCATTTCTCTTCCCAGTTTTCCCTCTATTTCTCTTACTTGCTTCTCGAAATCCCTTTTGAGCTCTTCCAAGGCCTGGGATTGATTCATATTTTTCTTGGAGGCTTTGTATGTAGGAGCTTTGGCTTTGTTGTCTTCTTCTGGTTGTATGTTTTGATCTTCTTTGTCACCAAAGTAAGATAATATAGTCTGACTCTTTTTGCGCTGCTTATTCATGATCCCGGCCAATTATTTGAGTTTTAAACTCTTTGTTAAGGTAAGAGTCTGTTTCCAGCGTGGAGAATGTACTGTCCCAAGCTTTGGGGGTTTGTACAGCTGTTTTCACAGGTACTTCTAGGGGCCGTAAATTTGCAGTTCTTCCAAGGTGGTATGATAAGGGGCGAGGTGTTTCCTCTCCACCACCACAACAAGCTCCACCATGCCAGCACTCCTCCTCGCCCTAGGATCGCCCCTCAGAACTGTGACCCAGATCCAAGCATGAGCAAAGCAAGATTTTCCTGCCTCAGCACTGGCAAAGAGATCCCTGCAATCTCTCTCTGATCAGCCACTTGATTCCCTCTCAGTCTGTGGGCTGGAAGCTCAGGAGGCAACTGTGGCCTGCAGGCCACGCTCGGGACTTGTGGCTGAGACCTAGCTTCTAACTCTCACTGCAGTCACAGACTTTTCCCACTGACCTTCCAAGCTGTCTTTGGTCTTTATGGGTTGAGAAGTCAGGAAACCACTACAGCTTCCCGTGATTCAGTCCTCTGAGGCCTGCTCCAGGGTCGCTGTGGCCTGCACACCCACACCAAACTGCGTGTGATATACCTTTCCGATCAACCATTCAGGTTGTCTTGGGCTGGAAATTTGTTTCGCTCTGTCTTTTTGTGGGTTCTGCTGCTTTAGAATTTGTTTAGAGCCATTTTTTTTACTGGTATTTGGAGGGGTTTGAGGGAGACCTCAAGCAAGTCACTGCTTTCACTCCGCCATCTTGGTTCCGCCCCCCCCCCCCCATTCTACTATTCTAGCTTCTAATTCTGTAGTTACTGGAACAGCTTCCTTGATTGTCTCCGTAATTCCAGTCCCCTGAATCTCTAACAACTGGCTCCTTAACTTTGTTCCTTTCTTTGTTTTTTAAATAAGTTTTTTTGATGTCTTCTGTTTTAACATTATAATAGTTATCTCTAGTAACCTTTGCCCTTCTCCCTTCCCTTGTTGACTCATTTTCCAGTCATATGTGACTCTTCATGAGTTCCATCCTGTATAACAAATAATACTTTTTATTTTTATTTATTTATTTAGCTTTTTTTGGTGAGGCAATCGGGGTTAAGTGACTTGCCTAAGGTCACACAGCTAGTAAGTGTCAAGTGTCTGAGGCTAGATTTGAACTCAGGTCCTTCTGACTCCAAGGCTGGAGCTCTATCCACTTTGCCACCTAGCTGCCCTGAAAATAGTACTTTTTAAAGACAAAAAAAAGGAAAAATCCCAGCACATTTGATCAATAGTTTTAAAAAGTCCAAATACATGTGCAATGTGTAACATCTGTGAGCCTCCCACCTCCATGAAGGAGTGGGTTAGAGTTATACTCTAATATCTTTTAATTTGAGTTATGCTTGATTTTTATAATTTTGTTACATTTACTTTCGATTTTTTTTGCATGTGGTTGTTCTTTTCATTCACATTTTTGTACTTATTGTGCATACAATGATCTCTTCCACATTGTAGGGGCTAGGGGCTTGGCGCTTTCACAATCTGGAACATCCTCATAAAATATTTTGGCCCTTCATACTAGAGAAGAAATCTGGATTTTTTCATTTTCTTTCATGGGCATTTACAGTACCTCATGGTAAAATTTGGGTTAAGTATTTGGTTATCAACTCTGTGTCAGCTGCTGGCTTTCATGCATCATCTGCAACTTCCACAAAACTCCCCCCAAATTCCCATTTAATTTCTTATGCTGACCTGTGATAGATCAAAAGTGTGACGAGGAAAGTCGAGATTTGGAAGGGATAACTAACTGTATTGTTTTCTTAGTTCTGTTTACTTAACTCTTCCTCAGTTCACATAAATCTTTACATGCTTCTCTGTATTCATTATATACATAATTTTTTTGTGGGGTGGGCTAGGCAATGGGGTTAAGTGACTTGCTCAGGGTCACACAGCTAGTAAGTGTCAAGTGTCTGAGGTTGGATTTGAACTCAGGTCCTCCTGACCTCAGGGCCAGTGCTCTATCCATTGCGCCACCTAGCTGTCTCCATATTTTTTACAGAACAGTAATATGCCATTATAGTCATGTACCACAATTTGTTTAGCCATTCCACAATCAATGGGTATCTACAGCTTCCAATTCTTTACTATCATAAAAAGTATTGCTATAAATATTTTGATGTGTATGATAACTTTCTTCTGTCAATGGCTTCCTTGGGGTATAAACCCAGTAATGGAGTCTCTGGTTCAAAGGGTATGGACATTTTAGTCACTTTATTTGTATATTCCAAATTGATTTCCAAAATGGTTGTACCATTTCACAGCTCTACCAGCATTGAATTAGTGGGTCTATCATTCCACAGTCCCTCCAACATTAACTATTGCCATTTTTGGGGCAATCTTTGCCAATTTGCAGGCTGTGAGGTGGTACTTCAGGGTTGTTTTGATTTTCATATCTCTGATTATTAGTGATGGGATTTTATGTGGTTGTGAATACTTTACAATTCTTTTTTTGAGAACTGCTCATATCCTTAGACCATTTGTCTATTGGAAAATGGCTGTTAGTCTTATATGTGCATTTATTGATTGCTTTATATAGGTTGGATACCAAACCCTTATCAGAGAAATTTGATACAAAGATGTTCCCCCCATTTGACAATTTCTTATTCTAGGTTTATTAATTTTGTCAGTGAAGAAGCTTTTCAATTTCATGTAATCAAAGTTATCTATTTTATCTTTTGTAATTGCCTCTCTCTCTTTGGTTAAGAATGCATTTCCTACCCATAGCTGGGAGAAGTATACATTCTGTTTCTCTCCTAATCTTTTTATAGTCTAATAATTCTAATTTCTGCCAGACTGCTTTCCAGTGTACCCAGTGATTTTCATCAAGGAGTTTTTTCCCTAGGTAATTATTGTTTTCCACTTTATCAACATTGGGCTATTGAGTTCCATTGTTTCGCATTCTCCCCTTCCTTCCCCCCCCTTTTTTTTTAAACCAGACATGTAAATACATGTTCCTCCGGGAGGAAACTCTCCAGGAGGAAATTCCTCCACCAATCCAGATTAGCACCTCTTTTGCCTGGGGGGCACTAAGAGTTTCAGTGACTTGCCCAGGGTCACAAAACCAATATATGTTAGAGGCTGGATTTGAACCCAGGTCTTTCTGACAGAAAGCCAACTTTCTATATATACTACTCTGCTTTTCTCAAACTAATTTTTCTAACATTCCACTTTTATCATCTTACTTGCTTGGCTCAAGAATCTACAACTCCTACAATTCCTGATTTATTCCTCCCCAAATCCAACACTTCTGGTTACTTTTCATGGCCCTCCATAATCCTTTCATCAAGTCCAACTCTCCTACCTGGATTTCAGGGCCTTCAACTTTATAGTCAGTCATTCAGCCAATAAACATCTATTAAATGCCTACTATGTGCCAGGCACTGGAAATAAAAAGAAAGGAAAAGACAGGCCCTACTCTCAGAGAGGTGAGACAATGTGCAAACAGCTATCTACAAAAAATTACATATCACATAAATTGGAAATGGGCTCATGGCATCATAGATTTAGAGTTAGAAAGAATCTTAGAGGTCATCTATAGTCAAGCGGTGTTTATATGCTATGCCCACCACATTCCTTTTCATCTATGAAGATTCTGTCCATTTTTTCAAGGCCTTTCTCAGTCTCTGCTAGCTCACACTGATCTCTTCTGCCTCTGAAGTCATTAGTTGTTTATAATCAGTATCACATTGTTTCCCTCCTAACTGTTCTCATATAGGTTTCATGTGGAATGACAGCTTGTTATAGATGGCTCAGCTTTTATTGTTTGTTTGATGTGACTGAGGGGCCATTATGACTGGGAAGAAGGGAAATGATCTCTCTGAACCTTAGTTTCTTGATTTATAAAATGAGGATAATCATAGCACCTACCCTACCCTACCTCACAGACTGTGAGGATCAAATGGCATAACGTATGTAAAGTGCTTTGCAAACTCTAGAACACAACATAATAATGAACTCATTATTAAGGGATCTTCCTGTTCCAAATCCCATGATCTTTTGCTTCTGTACAACCTAAGGGTTCAGAAATAATTTAGACTTAGAAAATCACTGGGTAAATTGGAAAGCAAATAGTCCAGAATAATGATGTTGTTTTTAAACCTTTCGGGGGACTGGCCCAGGCCAGCCATACTTCATTCCCTCCCAGTTGTAGTTATTACTTTGCCAACATACCTCCTTTTGGTATCTGCTTCTCTCCCTGTTTTTCAGCTTTTGTTTTCCCGTTAGAATGTAAGCTCCTTGAGGGCAAGTACTATCTTCTTTTTGCATTTGTATTCCCAGCTCTTAACACAGTGTGTGGTACATAGTAGACAAACAAATGTTTGTTGTCTGCCTATCTTTATACCATCCCACGACTGTGATCCAATCCCCATCCTATGGCGCAACCATGATTTTTTTGGCCTAGTATACTGAATCTTTCATATTTGGACATCATACACATCAGTGTATGAGGGGGTGACTGATAAAAGCAAAAGGTAATAATAATAATAATTATATTAGTGCTTTAAGATTTGCAAAATTCTGTATATATGTTATTTTATTAGACCCTTATAACAACCCTGTGAAATGTAGTAATATTACCCTCATTTTACAGTTTCCAGAAGATTCATTCATTCTGTCTGTCTGTCTGTCTGTCTCTCTCTCTCTCTCTCTGTCTCTCACAGACACACAGACACACGCACAGCCCTTCATTTTGTGCTAAGAATGTATTATTTGTGGCTAACTCCTACACTAATGCTCATGCTGAAATGACTAGGTCTGATGGCCAAGTCTGATGACTCTCTTCCTTGTATGTGTTCTTCTGCTTGAGGTTATGGCTGCTTGCCAGGAAGGCCTATAACCTGTGTTAGAGTGAGTCTTCTAATGATGCCGTCCTCTTATCTGACCTCTTTCAGAAACCTGAAGGCCGCCCTACTTTTGCTGAATTGACTCAGGCACTCACAGATATAGCAGAGACTGGGTGACCCAAGATGGAACATCAAAGACCCCAACACCAGTGTCCTCCTTGCTGAATTGTCAGGAAAGGAAATTCCTTTTTTGGTCATTGATAATGATCTTCTCTAGAAAGTTGCTGATGATGAATGACCTATGTACATTGTGAAGACGTATGAAGCTTTTCACTTACTTTATATCTTTGATCCACAGTTTCTCCTGTGACGATTAAATTGCCATCATCAGTGTGTGATAATGAATAAGTGGGACCCAACATTTCTTTGTGGGAAGCCAGGGGAGCAGTGGGGATCTAACTAAAACCCCAACTCTCCCCTAAGTTTTATATTATGAAAGTGTGATCTCTTTGGTCACAACCACAAAGATTAAAACCATTTGATGGAGAGGCCTGACCTGCTGGACATGTGGATTTACACAGATTCCCAAGTATTTCCATCTGCCAAGACTTTTGATTCTTGAAGAGATTTGTTGGAAAGAGAAGAAGAAAGCCACAAAAGGCAGAAGATGATACAAAAGAATTCATCTTGCCAAGCTATAGGAAAGCATAGGGTAAAGTTGGTGTACTAGAGGGATATGCCCTAACATGGGGCACCTTATCCTGTCTTCTCTTCCCAGAACCCCTCATACACATGGACTCTTGCAGATTTGCAGCTGAAGGGTCAAGCCAGAAAGATTGTTGAGAGCTAAGTGGGTAGGGCTGGTATATGTCACCCCAAGTCCCTTAACACCTTTGTTTGCTCCTTCCTCAACTCAGGTGGAAGAGCAACTTTCCTTGCCCTCCCCTACCAGGTGCATCTCCCATGCTGCTGACAATCCAAATAAACTGTTCTCTGAATGTTACTTCACTTTCAGTTCTCATGAGTTTATGCCCTTGATGTAAATGGAAAAAAAATTGGCAGCTGCCAGTCCTGACTTGTGTGGTTAATGACAGAGAAGAGTGAGGACAGGGAGAAAAGAAGTTTTGTCCTTTTTAAAAAAGAGAACGGAGGCTATTCTTTATCAGTGTGAGCTGGGGGGAGGGCAGGAGAGGGAGGCATTCCCCTCCCCAGCAGGAGAGAATGTATATTATCATCCCTAGACCATCAATGTGCTGGTAAATGTTTAACAACTGACTCTATAGGGAAAAAAATGTACTAAAGACATATTTTTAAGTTTTATCTGCATTATTAACATTTTCAACATCACTTTTTTAAGTCTGGACAATTAACAAAACAGTAAATCAGGCCCTGACATATTGCATTTGCTGATTTCCAAGCTGTAAATAATCACTGAAAATTTTAACAATCAGCCCTTGTGAGACATAGGAACTGGTATCAGTACAGCACTACCCCAGACCCATAAATGCAGAGAAACGTGAGGAAAAAAAAGGTCTAGTGAAATAAGGGCTAGAGATGGGGGTCAGAGATAGGGAGTCATATAGTCTCCTAGACTTAGAGCTGAAAGAGATTGTTAAAGGTCACTTAGTTTAACCCCCTTATGTTACAGATGAGGTAGGTGAAATCTGAGAGACAGTGATTAGCCTAAGGTGACCAAAGTAGTAATTAGTGAAGCTGGGATTTGAACCCGGCCCCCATGATTCCAAATCCAGCCTTCCTTCTAGTACACCACACAGTTTCAAAATGGGTTTTTCTAATGCCTGTTTCAAACATTATCAAAGCTCATTAACAGGGTCTCTCAGAGAGGTTTAATTGAATACCTAAGGTTGCACAGCTAATAAATACATGAGTCAGAATTTGTACTCAGGGCTTCCTGAAAATGTTGTGGTTTCATGGTTTGTTGTGGGGTCTTCTCAAAGAATTCAGTCACCTCCAGTCCAAGTGAAGGCATTTATTGAGAGTGATGCCTCAAACGGGCTGAGTTCCAAGGGGAACCAGCAACTTAATAAGACAATGCAGGCAATTTTATAGTGTAATGATGCTGACTACACAATAGAAATTATGAATATTAAAAAGGTGGGCGGGATTTGTCAAGGGATTAGGTATGGGGGAGGGGGGGGTCCCAGCCTCAGTGGAACTGCGCATGTGATTACCCACAATGCATACAGAAAAACCCAAAGGGGGGGCATTTATATATGATAATGATATTATAATAAGCCTCTCTACGTCATAAATTTGCTCTCGATCAGTTCTTTATTATTACTGCACAGGCACTATGTTGGGGAAGCCCTTTCTATGGTTAGGTGGTCAAATATCATGGTCTGCAACCTGGCGGTGCTGCTTTCTCACTGTCTAGCCATTGTGGTCCTGTCTGCTCAAGACAGATAGTTAGGTATCATGGTCTTGTCTTGGGCTACATGGATAATATTGTTGTGACTGAGTGCATGGACACACCTGTTTAAACATGAGAATTGGATATGGGGGCAGAGGCTAGCTGGAGGCAGTGGCTGTATTGAGTCTGGGGGCCTGTGATGTGGTTAAAGCCAGATTGTGTGGTCAAATCAGGGTATGCCTACTGTTCAGTGAGGTCCATAAGGAAGTTAGAATATTGGGGCTGAGGGCAGCTTTATTAGGATTCCATCAAGACCATGTCCAGTGCTCTAACCACTATATTATGTTACCTCTCAAGCCTCTTGCAATGTTCAAGTTCCATCTGTAGCCATTATCAGGGATGGCCTAAACTGTAATCTTATCCTACTGTTCACTGCAGTGCATTTAAAAAAAAAAAATAAGGCCAGACATCTTTAAAATTGCCTTCCTTCAGAAAAATACCTTCTCATTATTTTGGGAGGATGGTTACTGCTCACTCCACAATGGGAGTGAACACACACCATCAAAATTCTACAGCAAAGTTTTCTTTTTTTTTTCTTTTAAATTCCTTAGCATGTGTTAAACCAAGTGTTTTGTATTCCAGGAACAGTCAATATTATTGTACTTATTTCCTCATATGTGGTTTTTATATATGAGTGGCAAACAATTTCTAGTCATGTTGAATGCTTTAGAAATGCTCTACAAGGAAGAAAGAAATGGAGCACTGCAGAAATGGAGTGTGTATAGATGAGGGTGGAGGAAGGAAAGAAACATAATTAAGCACCTACTATATGCTAGGCATTATGTAAAATAATTGTATGTATCTTTACAATGACCTTGGGAAATATGTATTATTCTTATCACCATTTTTCATTTGGGGAAACAGAGGTAGACAGAGGTTAAGTGACTTGCCAAGGGTCACACAGCCAGTAAGTGTCTGAGGTTGAATTTGAATTCAAATCTTCCTGATTCCTGACCCCGCATTCTATCCAGTGAACCACCAAGCTGCACCTAGTGAGCTTGTCACACCTATACCATTTTGCCTCATATTGTAGTTATTTGTGTATATGTCTTAACTCCCCAAGCAGATTGTAAGCTCCTAGAGGGCAGGGCTGACTTGTCTTTGTATTCACTACAGCACCTAGTGCACACCCTGAATATAGAAAATAAGTGTTGAGTATTCACTCAACATTCTATAGCGTAGATGGATTCTTGAAGATCTGATCAGGTAGGTTACATCAATTGTCAGGAGATCAATTTTATAAGCTTGTAGGGTAGGGAGCCTATGTTTGGGACTTTGGGAGCATCTGTAGGAGACGGTGATGCCTCTTGGTGCCTCTTGGAAGATGGGTCTTCATTCCAAGGGAGTTCATACAATACTAATATTATAGGACTCACTAGAATGTAGGGGTGTTGCCTATTTAGTACCCCTAAATTTTGTTCTCTTCTGAGAGGAGTCCAATCTGTAGAGTGGCATGTCTCTAGAGTTTTGGACCCTGGGCTCTCTAGAGAAGGAGGAGAATTGTATGATTATTGATGGACTATTGTTAATTTTTTATGTGTTTTTTTGCATTTATTTATGGCTTCATGAGTTATTTTTCCTTTTCTGTATTGAGGAAAAAGGTTGTCCTCCACTGGATACTCTGTTACCTTGAATACTTCTGTGGGACCTGGGAGATCCTGTTAAAGATATCTGAGGAGACCCAGAGAAAATCTATATTCCGAGACTGAAAAAAGGCCAAGGTCTCCCACCGTACCCAGGACCACCTCCAGTCGTTCTGATCTATATCTTAACACTCTCAACACTCCAGAGGACTCTGGAGGAGAGACTGAGGCTGGTCACTTTGCACAGCCCTCCCTCACTTAAACCCAATCCACTTGCAAGTCACGGCATCACCTCTCTGATGTCATGGTCGTCTTCAAGAACGAAGGACAAACAACAACAACAAGAAAAACAACAACAAAAATATTCTGAGATTCCACAAAGCAAAATCTTGGTGGGAACAAAATAAGTCAAGGAAATACTGATTTGGGGGGAAGCTCCCGATATGGAACTTGAGCTCTATAAAACCAGAGCCTGGGGTTTGGGGCCATGTATAATACATGGTATAACTAACATCATAGAATCTTAATGTTTGAAGGGTCCAATTTGCATGGTATAGGGGAAAAAGCACTGACTCTGGACTGAGATGACCTGCGTTCAAATCCTGTTTCTGATGGTTACCCATATGACTTTGGATAGGTCACTTAACATCCCTGGGCCTCAGTTTCCTTATTTGTCAAATGAGGGGACAGGACTAGATAGCCTCTTAAGTCTGTCTATATCAAAGGGGTGGGGGGGCTAGGTGGGGCAGTGGATAGAGCACCGGCCCTGGATTCAAGAAGACCTGAGTTCAAATCCGACCTCAGATACATCACTTACTAGCTGTGTGACCCTGGGTAAGTCACTTAACCCCATTGCCCAACCAAAAACAAAACAAAAAACCAAAACCAAATCTATATCAAAGATCCCATGATTGGACCCCCTCATTTTACCAATGAGATCCAGACAGGAGAGAAGTAGCTTACCTCAGGTCACCCAGCAAGTTAGGAACAGCTAGAATTTACAGGATCATAGGAGGCTGGAAGAAAACTGGAGTCTGTATATGCACCATGGCTTACCCAGGCTGGCACAGCTAATAAGCGACAGATGAGGAATTTGAATCCAGGCACTCTGATCTTAAATCCATGTTTCTTTCCGGTAGGCTACCTTCCCAATCTTTGAGACCTGGCCTACTAATTTCCAATCTGCTGTTTTCTCCAATATGCCACACTGACTTCCAGTAAAAGAAATTCTAACCTCAGAGAATTAAAGGCTAAGTGACATTCCCAAACTAAAAAAGATAATATAGTCTTCCTTACTACACTGCTAGGCCCTGGGAGAATTTTATTAAAGGGGCTGATAAAGGGAAGTCACCTCTTAATAACTGACAATAACTCACATTCGAACGGCATCTTGTGACAAGATAGATTTCTCATTTGAACTTTACAACAATCACTAGGAAAAACATTCTGTAAATATTATCCCCACTTTTAAAATGAGGCCTTGAGGAAAAATTAAGTAGCTAAACCTGTTCTCCGTCCTCTGAAGTCAGAACCCAAACACCTGCAGAGAGGGGGACGTTTCCCAAAGGGAAAAAAGGGCGGATATTGGCAAAGATGGAAACAACCCTGAAGAAAATGAAGATGTCAAAAAAGACCAGGCATAGAAAGCCAACCATGCTGGAGATGCCAAGGGAATTGGATGAATTCTGGATAATTGTCTGTTTTTGGTCACTCTATAGCTGGAAATATTATCATTTATCAAGCTTTATGAAAATGTGCAATTCTGTCACATTATTATTGGGAAGGTTTTAAAAATAAGTTTTTAAAAAATTTCATAATGGGGTATGGTATAAAAACAGGTATTTTCCTTTTTTATTTTAAATGAAATTGCATGTTCCTTTAAGAACTGACCACTCCCTAACCATTCCTTGATCCTGCCCCAACCACCTAATTAGCATAGTTGGCACACAATTCACTGAACTTTTCCTGTTTAAACTCTCGCAGCACTGCAT